GTAAGAAGCACTCAAAAAAAGTTTTACAAAAAAATTACAATAAATAAAATAGAACACAATAAGTAAAAATATCACGTAAAAACAGAAAATAAAATATAAAGAAAAAAACAGAATAAAACATGAAATGAAAACTGTAAAGCGAGTAGCGATTTCAACTCTGAACCCTGATTTCATCAACCACTGAGGATATTTTACGTTAGCACTGTGGTCTGTGCGAGTCGATTGCGGAATTCGTATTGACCAGCCATCGCTGGGATTCAAACCCGGTTCAACTCTTTGGGCACAACGCTATAGTAATTATTGATTTTGTTAGGTTGTTTTATAGGGTGGTGATAAAAACTTAGTTACGAAGTAATAATTTAGATATATTTTTGGTCCCTTCTGAAATAGCTGTCGAAATTTTAAACATAAACAGTGTTAATTTTAAACGCAAACAGCGAACTCTTTTTCTGGTCACTTACTTCGCTTTATCATCTGCTATTATACCTTTCGTTACTCTAGCTCAGTGTTTCCCAAAGTGTGGTACGCGTACCCCCAGGGGTACGGGAACAATTTAGCGGGGGTACGCGTTCTTATGTGAAATATCTTGCAGCAAACGAAAATTCAACAAAAAAAATTTAAAAACAAAGCTAGCCATGAAAATTTATGACTACATATTTTTCTATTGACTATTTTTTGCAGTTAATAGTTAATAATTAATGGTGTCAACAGCCAGTTGTGATTTTTAACTTTTGCACAATTTTCTTATAGTAAACAATGCATTCATTTTTTTATTAGTGGTACACAGCGTTACGAAAAATTTAGAAAGGGTACTCAAAAGTCATTAGTTTGGGAAACACTGCTCTAGCTAATTAAATGTATTTTAAATTTAAAAACTGCTGTTTTCTCAGCAAAATGTCTCAAAAAGGACAAACTATTTACTCTAAGAAGAGAAATATCATCAAACTTATGAAATATTTAATGTTAAAAAAATTGACATAAAGATTGCGAAATAAATATTTTTGTCATATGATCGCCAACCTTGTTCACATCCTTCTCCCAAAAATAGTATCTATCGCCGGATACCACGTGATGAAGGCGGAGCCAAGTGCCAACTCCTTTTGAACGAACTATATTTCTCAAAGCCTTTTTTAAACTAAATTCGTTAATTAAGAAATATGTTTCCCTAATAAGTATTTTAATCTTTAACAGCAAATATTAGCTTTCATCTCAAAGGAAATCATAATTCGGCTTATTTTATTAATTTTCAACATCAAAAACAAATCCATATTTGGAATAGATACAGGTGCGAATTTAACTGTCGAACATAAAGCATAACTTAAAACTATTAATGATAAGGTGATGACAAATTTCCTTTTTTATTTATTAAATATTTCAAACTTAAATCATTTATTCGTTAATACGTCCACAATTGTCAACATATACTTTATTTATTAAGTCAGAATTCCGCCGAAAGGTACGGTAATCATTTAAGGTTCCACAAATGGAGAAAAAAAATCGGAAATCTCTGTCGTCTTGCGTACAATGCAAAAAATTCCAGATCATATTGCGCTAAAAAGTGTATATTTTTACCGGGATATGTTACGGAAAACAAAATTTGACAAACCACAATTTTTACTGTAATAATTACCGTAAAACCACTCCTACCACTTTCATTAAAAAGTGTTATAAAAATTACGGTAAAATGAAATTTGCAGTACAGTTCATACTGTACTTTGATTCGGAAGAAAAAAGTTTTCGTATAATTTATTAAAACTTTGACGTTAAGAGAAAAATAACTAAAATATGCAAATTTTGTAAAACGATTTGATAAAACCCTCATGAATTAATGAAAAATAAGTCCTCAGTGAAATATATTTTTTTTCTTAACGTCTGGCAGAGGAAGTCTATCCTCGGAATGATATTCGGCTAATTTAAGATCCTCGGTTAGTTTAAGGTTACCCGGTAGGCACCTTTGAACCTAAGTCACGGAGGGGAGCAGCATTACCGCACTGCCACAGATACCCGTTCATAGGGTGGGCCAAATTCACACAACAAAGAACACACACAGAGGAACTACCATGTCCTGAGCGGGATTCGAACCCGCAACCATTGCCTTCACAGTCATGCACGCTGACCGGTCGGCCATTTGGCTGGCCGTAAGGATAACATAATTCAACACATTTTATCCTACATAAATCGATTTAAATTAATACAGTAAACCTCATTTGATACAAAAGGATGAAACCGACGTTAATTATTGTTATACAACATAATAAAATTATATGAATTAATGTGACGCAACACAATGGCACCATTGCGAATTAACTTAATGAAACCTGTGTATATCAAGGTAATAAAATATAGCAAAAACAGTGCGAAGTTTTCATTATCACTAAAAGAATAGTTTCAGCTGTCCGAGAATAATAAAATTTCTATTAACAGTAAAAAAAAATACTTCAGCATTTCTCATCTAAAAAAAAATGCATTTAAACGCTTTTTTTTTTGTCGTTTCAGTGCTTTTTGTATGTAAATAGTAAATATGTTTTTTAACAAAAATACACTTTGCAAAGTTTGTAAAGTATCACTTTGCAAAATTTGAGATCGATAGGCAGTAATCAAACAATATCTTGCCATCTATAATATCTGCACATGAGATTCGCAATAACTATAACCACAGCTCTGATTCAAAATGCGTCAGTGTGCGGGTGGGTGACCACTTGGATCAGTATGCGTAGGGACCGAGGGTGTGCGGTATTGGTCCTCGTTAAACTGTGCTACCGTAAAGTGCTCTACTTCGAATGCAGGTCATCGGGCTACCGAAGAGGGGTGCCATCCCCTCTACAGAGGATCAAAATTGTGATGGCATGTCTTCGGATCATCCTCAGGGGTGTTTCGCAGACCATCGCCAATAGCCCAATTGTGAAGCTTCAGTAAACTTCCCATTCTTCCGATGCTATTGAAAGATTCTGCTAACACTTGATTGAGAATAATTCAAATAGTATTATATTGTTATAGCTATATATTGTTGGTCTTCACCGTGTTGATGTAAGTCAGGGATGGGCAAACCTTTTTTGGTCGAGGGCGAAAAATCGAGAAAAAAATGTTTGGTGGGCCAAGTAAAAACTTCAAATTTAAAAAGAAAAAAAAATGATATGCAAGTTTCAATTTAAATATTTAATGAGATGAATGGAACTGCGATTTCATTTTTAAAAGTTCCTTATATTGAGGTTCGAAGTGAGATGTGCTTATTTTAAGGAACGAGGCTAAATGCTTGTCTGTTAGTCTACTTCTGAAATGATTTTTTCTAAGGTTAATAGTTGAAAACACTTGTTCACATGTATAAGATTAAGCAAACATAGCACTGATTTTCTGGGCATGGAATATTAAATTTTGGAAACGAGCTTTTGGTGATGACTTGTAAAATTCAAACTTTGACATATTTAGAAAGAGCTGCTCTTCAGATGATTGTTAGATTGTCCGCTCGTTGGAGCTTAAAATGAGCAGTCTGCCACACGTGAAGTACAATTCCCCTATATTAGATTCCGTAAGTCTGCTCCTCGAGAAAGATAAACGCTAGTTGGAGCCAATCTACGGCTATTCTATAAGAAATTTCTGCTTCTAACATTTTATCAATTGAAGTTGCATGCGCTAACCATTTCCTTTAATTTATGTTTTGTAGAAAAAAATAGAGAAAGTAAAAAGGTCATCAGTACTTTTCTAAAAAAGAAAGAACAGAAACAGCTTTAAACAATGTCGACAAGAAAATGAATTGTTTATATTTGATACAGATAGGCAAGTTAAAATTCTATCCTCGGGCCGGATAAAACCTTCAGGCGGGCCACTGCTGGGCCGCGGGCCGTAGTTTGCCCATCCCTGATGTAAGTCATTAACTAGTTATTTCATTGATTCTAGAATATCACGTAAGAGTTCCTTTTTGAAAAAAATTTCCAAACATAAAATTTGCAAAAAAAAGTCTTTTTTAAAATAACCGTCTTAAATAAATCTAATATTTTCATAAGCTACTCATAAAACTATTAAAAACAAATTATTGTCATTTTATATTCTAGTCATTTGGACCAGTTAAATTAAATATTCTAATATTTTGAGATTTAATAATAATTTTAATAATTATCTTTTTTTAAAAAATGAACAAATTTAAAGCTTGCGTCGCAAATTCAATTGAAAATATATTCCTAAAAAAATATCTTTTGCATATATGCATTACAGCACCTTTTAAGTACTTTTTAAACACTCAAAAAATATTTTAAGCACTATATACATTAACAAAATGCAAAATAATTTTCAAAGACTTTTCATGATCATGATAAAATAACTAGTTTCTGACAAATAACTCTTTTCTTGATTATATAAGTCATTATAAAATGACCGAGAGATTTTTCGGTTCGATTTCTGAAGGGGGAAAATGAAGCCTAAAATTGAGAATAACTTGCAAATTGCAGCAGAGTTGTATATGAGAAAGCAATAATCTCACCGAACCCAGCTCATTGGACGCACATGAGGAAGAATTTCCTCAAACCTGTAAAATTATTGGGGCTTTCACACGATATGGACGACGGTAAACCGAAATAGATTGTGGTTGAATGAATTGTGAAAACGTTGAATAGAACAATGTGAAAATCGCGCTTTTGAATAATAAGTGGCGAAAATCGACACGATAAAGAAAAAAAATCTCATTTTGGAAAAGGGAAAATGAAAAAAAGCACCTCTAAACACTTTTTGAAAACACTACGCACCATATTATAAATAAAGTGTTTTCTCTTCAACGAATGAGAAAAATGAATTATTCTACTATTTTGAATCAGAGTCGTAGTTTATATATTAAAATTAAAACATAATTCATCAATATTTTTTTAAACCCTCTAACCACAAATAAAATTTCAAAAATAAAAGAGAATACATTAAAGGAAAGAACATTAAGAATCGGATTAATCCGAAACGAATGATTTTAAAACCAGTGATAAAAATAGCTCCAAAACGGAAAAAAAATAAAGACCCACCTGTAGAGCTGCATTGAAGCGTGCTTCTTGAAACTGATATAACTCAACTCCAAATCGATCCGGGGTGTTCCTCCTGTCTTGATGTACTTTCTGATCACATTGACGTTCATCAAATCGTTCCAAGCACCCCCTCGCACTTTTTTTGACGCCAAAAACCTCCTCTTGATCACGACTGTAATACGGGAATCTTGAGGTGCACAATTGTACGTGCCGTTCCGGATTTCTCCACTGCCGGATTCCTGGAAGATGATCACATCTCGCGCTGCTGCCGGACTCCAGCGCGCATGGCCCTCTCTCCTCCAATGATAGGTCCCACATCGGCCCTATTGGGGCCCGTTGTCAAAGCTCTTGGCCTTGAGCATTTCGATTTGTCCCCACAGTCCGGTGTGGCTGACTCCCGGACAGGACATAAGCGTTCCGCGTCAGACCGGACATCGTTTCTCCGTTTTGCCTGAACCTAATCTGGATTTCTGGCTTTGACGTTGTTTTTATTGGTATGGCAACACATGCTTCTTGGATAAAATTATTATTTCGGTAAGGATAAATTTAAAATTTTGATGATAATAATTATTTTCATGTTTAATTCACGTAAAATTTTCTCATATTTGCATTTTGAAGAAAAAGTTTATGTCATTTTTTTTCGTGTCAGCGATTTTCTTTTACGGATTTGTTATATTCTTCTGAATTCTGTTGAAGCACTAAAGTATATATTTTATTTAAAAAATACCAAAATATCGTATAGTCTATGGGTGTAATAAATTTATCAATTTCAAGTTTTTTGTTCTTGCTGTAGATGGATCTTCAAGAAATTACGAAACCTGAAAAAAAAAGAAATATATAAAACTATTATATTATCTTCAAAAATGCCAACTTTTTATTTTTATTTTATTTTATTTTTACTTTTTATTTTTATTTTTGTCAACATTTATATAGCTCTAAAATTAATGTCCTGATTGTTTGCTTCTTTAAACTATCTAAAAAATAACTCAAATTTTTATTTTATTAAATTAACGCAAACAATACAAAAAGAACGAATTAAAACAAATAATAAACTAAAATGGTTTATTAACATGTTTTTCTAGAGTTTTATTTATTTAAAACATTTTAACACAAAAAAAATGAGAAATTGAAGGCCCTGTCAATAAATTTTCACTATTTAGTTTTTTATTAAATTTAAACTACGTTGAAATAAATTTAATAAATTAAGAAAAAATAAATTTCAAAATAAGTAAAAATTAAAAAAACTAAAACAAGTTAAATAGTTTTAAGAAATTAAGAAGCTAAAATTAACTAAAATTAAGAACAGAACAAATTTATTCATTTAAGGATCCAAATTAAATTTAAACAAACCAATCGAAATTGAGTTGATTTCAGTTCTCCGGTGCTTCGTAGTGATCGCTCTTAATATTTAGATTATTTCTATTACAATTTGTATTATACTTTTTAGAATCATTGCCGGAAACTATGAAAAAAAGACATACAAAGCTATCGAAAATGAGTTGTTTTCCGCGGCAGGATACTTCGCAATGATCGCTCCTAATGTATATTTTCAAAATTCTTGTCATAAATTTTAACAAAGACATATAATTAGGGGTCGTAAATAAATATTAAAATATAAAAAAAACACTATCGAAATAAAACACATCACTGCTAATAAATGTGAAACTTTAAATAGGCTAAAACCTGTTGGCTTGCCGGAAGAAACTGGGAGGAATTGAAAAGGATTATTAGAAACACCTCCTAGTTTCATTAGCCAAAAAAAAATAATTTTGATGTTTTTCACGATAGTGAACATTATATGTAAAGTAATCAATGAAAGAACATGTTAAGTAACATTTTAAAACACTAAACCTTCCTGATTAAAAAGCATTTGATGGTCGATTGTGCGTAAACATTTGTGCATAAATATTGCCTTGAAATAAGTTATCTTCGATATGTCACGTGTGTTTGCAAACAGTTTCCTTCCTCAGTTATTGAAAGTTTAGCCACTGATGTTCATTTAATAAACTTTTCATTCGTAAAGATGTTTTTAAATTACTTTTTGTAGCTTTTATATAACGATTTAATTAATTAAAATTGTGCTTTAAAATTTGTTTTTCAAATTCATTAAATTGCAGCTTAATATTAATTTTTTACCATGTCTCTTTGAATGGAACATTTCATGTGTTTTTTAAAGGCGATATATATACGTATCTTAATATACAAGGTATTTCATAAACACCACTGTTAATATACATTTTTTGGAGGCCTGTCAAAAAATTCTACACTTTGATGAAATTGACTAATTGAAAGAGGAAAGGAAAAAAAACGATACTGAAATACGCAGAACCACTTTTGAGGAAAACTGAATGGAGAAACTGTTAAAAGGTCTCTTTCCTCGTCATCTTAAAATTTAGGATAAATTTTCGGTTTATGGTTTTTCTTGTATTAAACAAATTTGTGATGATAGGCTGTCTTCGATAGCGCTATATCTCTTATAAGAAATAAGAGGCACACTATATCTTTAATAGCACTATATCTTCAGCACTATATCTTTAATAAGGCGTCATCAGAGCCGCGATGGCTCAGGGGATAGAGCATTCGCCTTCCAATGAGGCAAACCAGGTTCGAGTCCCAGTCGAAACGAATTCCGCATCCGGTTTGCACCGACCACAGTGCTGACACGAAATATCCTGAGTGGTAGACGGATCATGGGTTAGAGTCCCCTTGCCTTCGGCTAACTGTGGGAGGTTCTAGTGGTCTTCCTCTCTATGTAACGCAAATGCGGGTTAGCTCCATCAAAGTCCTCCACGAAGGCAAATTTCTCCCAATACTAGATCTTGAAGTTCCCTTGTTTTCTGGATTGGGTTCAAAATAACAAGGCTAAGGAGTAGAACGTTAGTAGTCGTAAACCCAAAAAATTGGGTCGGTTGTTCAAAGACGGATATAAAATTGAAAAAAATAAGACGTCATCACACTTTTCAACTGTGATCAAGAGTAATAGTAAACAGTGCGCATGCGTCGTCATTGCATGAGTTGCTATGGCGACCGCTACTGCTTGATAATTTTTTTAGAATTATTTTTTTCACTTTTAATTTTGCTATTCATTAAGTTCGTGAGTTTATGCCAATGGGTAACCTGTGATCGCCTTTCGGCAAACACAATTTTTTTAAATTGAATTTGAAAATTAAAGAAATTTTAATGAAGAATTGTTTCTCTTGGAAATTATTTTTTTATAATTTTCTTCTCAAAAATGTTAAGCAATGAAAGGATGCGATTCATGGTTTTGACTAAGTTTTTTTAAACTTCATATCTGTTTTTAGATTATTTTTTTTAAAAATTTAATTTTATTACAGTTTAAACAAATAAGAAGTGATTTTAATAAAGTTAAAAAAAAATTAACGTAAATTACTGGAAAGCGAGGATATTTATCATAAGTCTAAAAAACAGATAAATGTAAAATACCAAACTGCTTTTCAAAATATGCTCATGGCAGAAATTATATGGGAATAATTTTATCAGAAAAAAAATAATGAAAAATCGGATTTACTGTGAGTCTTATTATATCTCAAAATGTGATAGGATGATGGCCTTGTATTTGAAAACTACTGCCAAATAGAGAAAAATGTCCAACATCAGTTTATTTTTTGAAAATTAAATAAAAAGGAATAAAATCGTATTTTGAATTTTCCCACTTTCTTCAACAGTAGAGTTTGTTGGAAGAATAAAAGCGTCTTAAGTAACTCCTGAGTAGTAAGTTTAAGACATAAAAATTTGTTTGATTGCCTGATAAAATTGGGAGATGTTTTTTTTTACCACTACTTACTACATTTTTCAATTTCTCGTGATATCCGGCAATCAAACGTGTTTCGATATTTTCTGTGGTGATCCAATTGATCATTGGCTTTTTTTCGTTCTTTCCCCTTAAATATGAACATACAATTCCTAATGGGCAAGTTTTTTACTTCATTTTCGACAAGAATTAGAAATAATATAGTGAATACGGTCATTACAGTACATTTTATTAAAGATTTTAAAACATTTTTATTTCATTTTATTTACGCTTTAATATCAGATATCAAGTTGTACTCATTAATTTTTTGTTATATTGCTTTTTCGGTTCGTAAACGATAGTGCATCAAGTTTACGAGAATTGATAAAATTAAAAAAAAAAAAATTATTCAGAAATATCCAAAGCTTGTTGCAATTTTTATAACTTTAAATCATAAAATTCATTTGCGATATGAATCAGAATTCATAAAATATTCATAAAAGCTAATTCCTAAAGTATGCTACAAATATCTGTTCTTTCTTCCTTAATTACTAATACACTTCTTATTCTGTAAAAATATAAGTAAAGTTAAAAGCTTCTTAAACAAATTTAATTTAATGTACCTTTATTTGCTAATCGAAAAAGTTATATCTGATCAAAATTAGTCACGTGATATTTGTAAGATCAAACTTTTGCTCCCACATGTTTGTCCGAAACGATAATGAAAACAAATGAAAGAGTAAAAAACAGCAATATATTCTTTGAACATTTTATATTTGTTTTTAATCTATTGTATTTTCAACGTTCGTCAAATAATTCTACTTTTTTAATAATAGCCGATGAGTAATAGTTTAGCATAATCTTATGATTCTTTTTTTAAGAAACCTACAGTTAATTTAATTTTTTAAAGAATAAATTTTAACTTAAATAGCAACTTTAACTAAAATAATTCTAATTTTGTTTAATAACAGCCGTATAAATAATAATATAGCAAAATCCTAATATTCTTTTTTAGAAACCTACAGTTAATTTAATTTTTAACGAACAAACATTGACTTAAATAGTACTCTGAATGGTTTGGAAATTAATATTCATAAATCTGCATGTTTTATTTTAAGAATTACTAGCAAACTCTAACAAAACTAAAACCAAACTCACAATTTACTGACCAACTCCCGAAAGAGATTTCTCAATGCAGCGACTTTCAACAAACCCACTCTTTAGTTTAGATTCATTTTAAATAAAAAAAACTTGATTCTAGACATTTATTTAGCTCAGGTAACAAATTTTAAAGGAAATTAAGGGTTGTATTATAATTGGGATCCATTAAAGCCAAGAGGAAAATCTTTAAAGAAAAGAGCTAGCCTTTAAAGGCTGATGGATTGTAAATTAGCCTCCTGGAACTGCTTATGATTTCATTTCATATCGCTTCGCTTGCTAGTCTTGCTCATATATATAACTTTATAGTTTTTTTATTCTATTTTTTTTTCTCAGATATGAGCCTCCTGCTCACTATCGTTCGTCATCACTTGTAACTGCTAGCACATTTTTACCCATTGGCAAAATGAGTGTTATTTTGGGCTTGATGACGTGCGCGCCTTATTTGGAAGTCATCACAATTTTCAACTGCTTTCAAGAGTAATTGTAAACAGTGCGCATGCGTCGTTATTGAATGCGTTGCTATGGCGACCGCTGCTGGTTGATAATTTTTTTAGAATTCTTTTTTTCTTCTTTTCACCAGCAGGCATTTTTAATGCATTTACATAATAACAATTTAAAGTATTTTTACATTCTTTATATTATTAAAGTATAATTACTGTCTTGACGGTGATTCTAATATAAATATGAATACTGAAGAAGGAAAAGTATTTTGTGACGTCTTGAAACACGTATATAGGAAGGATCTGAACACCAATTCGACGTCAAACATCAATGGAGACAGTTTTTGCAACCCATGATTTGAAATGTTGTGGCGTTTATCGGAGGATATATTGGAGTAAATTGATATTTTTCCGTAAAAAAGCGCAACTTTACAATTTATTTACTCCGAAACTAGATAGAAATTTA